AATGAGGACACACGGTACATGGCAATTAACAGTTATTAAGCTCTTTAAGATAACTAGAATAATATTTTTCACTTGAAATTAGACCAGTTTTCACTTGAAATTATTTCGATTTATTGTCTAGGCTAGGACGTCATATTTTAATGACAATACGAGGACAAGCGTCTTTGGTAACAAATGGACAAATAAATACAATAATAAATAAATAAATAAATAAATCCATCCTTCATCCATAACCCTAGTCCATTCTCCAATAACTGCAATAGCTCCTGTGCACAGGCTGGGGATGGTCTCTGGCTACATCCCATGATATAGTCGGAGACTAGATCCAGCATGTGCACCACTTTCACTTTTGTCGATTATTTTGCGCTTAAAACGGCCTCTANACCATTTCGATCTCCTACTTAGTTATCTATCACTTTATTCACTTTGCTACAAATTAATAATGGATACTAGTCAATTGGTGTGTGATAGAGATTAATAAAGCTGAAAAATATTGAATAAAATGCGTCGGGAGCTATTTCACGGGCGATTGGAGTGACGTGCGGCTCTATTTGCTTTTCCTTAGAGACCAGTCAAGCGAGACGATATAGAATGCTGATTTTGGTAGCGAAACTACAGGAGATGTGCGAACTGCGAACATTTCGATCTCCTTGTTATCTATCACTTTGCCACAGATTATTTATTAAAGGGTACTAGTCAATCGGTGAGTGATAGAGTATAAGGCTGGTTTTAGTGTCACGCGGACTGTCAGTGCGGATCGCTCCGCACAGCCGATTTGTATGAACTGCTAGGGAGCGAGCGGTTCCTCCGGACCGCATTACTCTAAAACGCTCCCTAGAAGTTCATACAGATCGGCCGTGCGGAGCGGGTCCGCGCGGACGGTCGGCGTGACACTAAAACCAGCCTAAAACTGAAAAATATTTAATGAAATTAGAGTAACGTGCGAGCCGCTATTGCTTCGCCTTAGAGAGCAGTCACGCGAGACCATATAGAATGCTGATTTTGGTAGAGAAACTGCATAACATTTCGTTCTCCTACTTACCTATTATTTAGCTACGGATTAGTAAACATTAATAACACTACCTTTATAGCACTTATTTAACTATGCCACGTGTTTAACTTAATCTACGAATAGTGTTGTCAAACAAGTGCTTCAAAAACCTACACTAGTCTGTAAATTGAGATTGTTACTAACTGCAAAAAAAGTATAAATTGTTTTTATTTGACACAGTAATTCGGTTTAGAGGAAACATGCATTAGTGCTAATGAGTCAATAATGCGATGAGGGTCATTGCCTCAGCGATGCAACAAAAATATCGCGGCAATTTATCGGTGCGCCGGCGCACTGATTTACGGCGCGCGGGCGCATCCCGCGCTGCGCTGCGCTAATCCCCACACTAGGGGTGAGGCCTGCAAATCATATTATTTTATTTCTACTATTTTTTCGTGACTACCTTTTTTCTAGATGTTGTTCAAACTTTTATCACTAACGAATTGTCACGGCTAACTAAGTAACTATTTTCATTTCTAATTATCATATTCATATTTCTTTTATTTTTATTTGTGTGGTGTGAAAAAAAAAGACTACCTATTTTTTATTTTCGAATCTCTACAAAGTACGAATCAATGCGCTTAAAAATACATATTCTATTTTATATGATTGGAAAACTCTAATTAAACATGTTAATAGAATATTGCAGGTTTCATCACTTTTAGGAATTTTCTGACTTAAACTAAATACATACAACCTTTGATTTCACAATCTAGGTCTAGGAAGCGCTATGTCATTAGTAATTTACCAGTTTCAATTTATAACATAGAGTTTATAATAACAATGAAGTATTCAGATAATTCATGAGTGGCAACCCTGCCCAAGTTTCAGATTGGTATGTTTTGATGGACACACAGGGCCGATTCTGTTGCTCGAAATTAATATCTAACACTTGAGGCTCGTTAGCAATCGAGTGTCGATTTACACCTGACTATTAATAACACCATTATGTGCGCGTTTTGTACGCATTGCGCGCGCGCGCTCAAAAACAAACGGGCTATTTAGCTTTAATTAATTTTAAAATGCGGTAAGTATTAATTAAGAATTTTGCTCATACGATGACACTGCCGCTAATTACAGGTTGATGATCCCACTTAAAGATGAGATGAAACTCTTAATTGATGTGTTATTTCAATAAATGTCTTCATTTTATATGAATTGATACACTGAAAAAAATGTTTGGTTACTGCTTACACAACAAAAGTGACCACCGAACTAAGTGTTAACTATAACTAAGTCTAGCTCACTACAGGATTATTTGTTTAATTTACACAACATTTTGTTCCTCATAACCAAAGTGTTCGGTGGTCACTTTTGTTGTGTAAGCAGTAACCAAACATTTTTTTCAGTGTATTAAGTAAAGTAAAAGCAAAAAAAGTAAAAAGTATTTTATTTGCCAACAAAAGAATTACAGTTTGCTTATCTAGCGGCTGCTGCACTAAGCTGTGCTTGTGTCGCGGCTGCCTTAAGTAACACAGGTTAACAATGTTGATAAAATATAATGAGGACACACGGTACATGGCAATTAACAGTTATTAAGCTCTTTAAGATAACTAGAATAATATTTTTCACTTGAAATTAGACCAGTTTTCACTTGAAATTATTTCGATTTATTGTCTAGGCTAGGACGTCATATTTTAATGACAATACGAGGACAAGCGTCTTTGGTAACAAATGGACAAATAAATACAATAATAAATAAATAAATAAATAAATCCATCCTTCATCCATAACCCTAGTCCATTCTCCAATAACTGCAATAGCTCCTGTGCACAGGCTGGGGATGGTCTCTGGCTACATCCCATGATATAGTCGGAGACTAGATCCAGCATGTGCACCACTTTCACTTTTGTCGATTATTTTGCGCTTAAAACGGCCTCTACGTGTTGGATCTGTATCCCCACGCAAGCCTTATAAAGGACCGGGCCACTTTTGACCCGTGAGCTCCAAAGCGTACAAAAATAAATAAATAAATAATAATAATATAATATATATAATATAATAATATCGATATCTTTGATGAATCGGAGCGCGCCGCTTCAAGAGGAAGTGTGTGGAATGAATATTATGTACCTAATATTTATTGTTTCTTTTCTTAATTTTGTCTTTAATTAATGTCCTACTTTAAACTCGAGTCAACGTTCGATAATGGGAAATGATGTATCCACCTGTAAAGGCATATATTTTAATATTGTACCTACTCAACACTGTATTATTGTTATAAAATATGTAAAGTTATATGTCGTTGGTGTATCTTTTTGAATTTTCGTTTCCTTACCTAACTCTAAATCGTGTCCATCAGATAGTACTTACCTAATCGACATAGATTTGTTACGCACCAACATTCCCCAACTAGACACATTTCCGCGTAAGAATCTACCGAACACGTGTTTTAAGATTACTCCAATAACTCTAGAAATAACGAAGAAACCGAAAAGCATCTAATGCATCCGGACAGCAAATACGTCCCCACCGCAGAATCTGGCGGGCCTTCCAAAACTATTGACAGTGAGTGTGGATGCGATCAAAATTAAGCCGGGGATTATGAAGAGACCGAAATAGACGGCTCAAATCCTCCTGGATTAAGGGATCCCGTGTTCCGTCGGCCGGCACGGCACAAAAATACCTAAGGCGCGCCGGATGCGACGATTAGCCTAAACATCTATCGTATTGTGGTGCACCTTTTGCGATGTCGCGGTACCCTGATAAATCACGAAAACGCACTTGACACATTTTGCCAAACAAACGCGGTCGTGGCATCTCATGGACAAGGAGTTATTGGTAACTTTATGTTATCAAAACTGAAACGCCATGTTTTGATTATTTTTCAAATAGAAAATTTCTTTACGTTCAAATGTGACCTGACTTAAAATGTCGTCCTGTAAATGACTTTCCTGTAAAACCTACTACCTAGGTACCTATGTGTAGGTAGGTAGATGGAATTTAGTTCTATTACTGTGCCCGTCTTCATTTTCTTTGGAAAAACTTTTGAATTTGAAGAAATTTCGTTGTAGGCTATATATAACTTGCAATAATAAATTGCTTGAAAATTAAATGAAAATGGATGTTCCTCTTTATTTATCGTGGTATAAATTCTCATCCTTGTTTTTACACCTCAAAAACCGTTTAGCTCCGAGCATCTGACAAATGTCTCATTCAACATATTTTTTATGGCTTTCACATGTTTAGATTTCAAAGAAAATAATGGGATGATTTGTGCGAGATGTACAGTTTTCTGGCACACATATTGGTGTTGAAACAACAAATAGTGAAGTACGTTTTTCACGTCGTTGATTTTATAAATTATGCCCACTGACCAAGAGTTTCTTCAAACAAAAGACATTATTAAACTGAATACTACCAATTAATTGCTGATATTGATGGGGGATGAGTAGTGTGCATAGATGTACCACGGACAATAAATATCTTTCGACAATTTCACACAGCGCTATCTAGCCCCAAAGTAAGCAATTAATATGCTTGTGTTATGGGTGCTAGCTTAACGGATATACTACATATATACTTTTTTTAAATACATACATATTATACATAGTAACACCCAGACCCGTCACAGAAATTAAAATTCATCATATCAATTTCTGCCCGGCCGGGAATCGAACCCGGAACCTCTCGGCATAGTAGTCCGTTTTTTTAGAACCACTACACCAAACGGCCGACATCGAGATCACATGAAACTTTAGTTAAAGAGTCGTGGTGTGAGTTCAATAAAGAGTGAGACCAAGTTTCTAGTAAATCCTGAGGACGGAAATCTGAACTACGATAGAAAGAGACTAATTCCCGAATACAAGTTATTGTAATAATCTAACTTCCTGTCTATATCAACCTTTGGGGATCGTCTTCAAACAAGGTCTCCTCTCTTACCTTCCACCGACTTCTATCCCTGGCTATTGTAATAATATTATTCTAAAAAAAATCTCAGTTAACTCACCCTAACTCTCGCTTCCGTAAGGTTGGTCCACATCGCGATCTCTTCCCTCGTGGACATATCAGGGTAGCGGTTCCTAGCGAAGGTGGCTTCAAGCTCCTGAAGCTGCTGACTGGTGAAGTGCGTCCGCTGACGTCGCTGGCGTTTGTTCTTCTTGTCACCTTTGTCGTCCATCGATGGTTCATCAGGTCCTACGCCAGGTGTCGTTGACTCCGTCTTTATTGTCGGCTCTGATGTTAGGGGACGACCTGGGGAAGGAGGTACAGTTTCAGTACAGGTTTAAGATATTAGTTCGGTTAGAAAAAGAAGCTACGATAGCCGAACGGTGAAGTTGTCGGATTGGCTGACTTGTGATCCGAAGAACGCGGGTTCGATTCCCACCGCCGCTTGTCTATTACGATCTCGTATGGGTTCACCACAACCCTCTCGTAACACAAGCATATTTAGATAACATTACTGGTAATTTGTATTGAATACTTAAAAAACTTCCACAATTTATTAATTCACTTTTTATTTCAAAACTCTTCAGGTCCACGACTACCGGGCCGCGAGATTTATGCAAAACACGCTAAGCCTAGGCAAGACATTTTAATAAATAAAAAAGGAAACTAAAAACATCTGTTTATAGTTACAAACTGCTATCAATTTCTTTTAACTGTATGGAGACATTCCAATGCTGTGTGCTGTGTAAAATACAGAGCACGTCAAGATATGCTATGGGTTCTTATTTAGTTGTCATAAGTGCTATTTTGAAACAAAATGTGTAGCTTGAATTGCTGTCGACTGTACATTTAAAAAAAGATTCATATCCTCGTTACCAGTAGCGCGCCTTAATACCCTGGATTAGGCGCAAGCGCACCTAATACTTTTACGACACTGCCGTAAATAAAAACGTACTCAATGAACGATATAGTTACAATCAATAACGTACACGTTTTTCAACTCTATGCGATAGATAGTAAGTCCAAAATTATTTAGAGCGCGATGGCACTGTACATAACAATTTATATCACCTATAAAATCTATTTTTGCCCGATCAAAAATGTGAACAAATAATAGAAAGTTCAGTTTATGTAAGATTTACATTTTTTATTCAAAATTATAATGCTTATTTATGGGTATTCATAACAACTGTTTATCGTGATGCTCATGTTCTTTAGCTAAATCACATTTTTATATCAGAAACTCTAATTCTTCATTCGTCGTTCAAAGGTATACTAAAAATTATAATGCCTCAGAGTAAGCCATGAATAGTCTAGCTTGCATTTACTATCACTCATTTTTTCAGTTTTTCTAATTACTTATTCAATTTGTTTGGTTCAATCAAACGAAAAACATAAAATAATTTGTGAAAAAATGTTTAATGTCGGCCTATCTACAGCATATGGTACTCTATACGATAAAATAATGTCATCATAATCATAGGTTACAGCTAATATTGGCAAGTTCATAAAGTGAACCACACTGACGCAAAAATGATATGGAACCCGACAGATGGTGTTATTGCATAACTATGGTGCGCACTTCAACTGTTTTACATCCCATTAGGGTTGCCAAAAGATACGAGTAAACTCCTATTTTCTGCGAGGATAGTTAACTTTTATTTATGACCTATGACCTAAATAGCTGTTAACCTTTTAGTTATTCTTTGATTACCGGATAGGATGGGATATCGTTTTTCCATAGCATTTGTAGTTCAACAACTAGGAAAATAGTAAGGCTGAGTTGCATCAACATACTTTAACCGTTACTATAACAATAACCGGTGTTTTTGTATGGAGTTTGACAGATTTTCCACGTTTGTTAAATTTATAGTAAAATGGTGCAACTTAGTTTAAATGTAAGTATGTAGTGTGTTACTACGTCTCGTAGAAAATTGTGAGAAACTATTCTACTAACTTCTCTCTAAAATAAAATGACATAATTATCTGGGTAAATCGAAAGTCAAATTAAAACAAAACATTTAAGACTCTTGTGTTAGAATACTAGGGCGTAGGAAAAAATGCCTATTAGAATGATTCCATTATTTTTACTATCACTCTACTTTTCAAAATACAACCCTATTCGTATCGTATCGGCACAGGGACACGATACGGTGTTATAACATCAATTCTTTGATAACCCGTTCGCAATCAACCTCATATTTGTTTTAGACAAATCCTGGTGAAACACACCGACAATGGCAGCTTTATCTCTTCGGAAAGTGATCATCATCATGTTTTGGTGTGTTATTAGTGGACAACTATAACTCACATTCGTTGACAGGTTTCTTTAATACTTTACTTTTACTTACTTACTAACAGACAGTAATAAAAACTAAAATGCCGGTTACTGAAAATGTGATTTGTGAATAAGTTCGTTATTTTCTTACGTCTTTGGCTATGAAAATAACCTGATGAAACACAGAAAGAAACAAACATTTTTTTTTATCCACAACGAGGTAAGTGACGATCAGGCCGAAGGTGGAACCGAGCTTCACCCGGAGTCCTCAACCACGGAGGAACTGGCTATCTTACCTCTAACTGCCGGAACACAATAATGCTGTTAACATTGTTGTTATGGCGACAGACTTAGGTAAGATGGTGGTAGTTAGCCAGGCGGACTTAGAACAAGCCCTACCACCAACCAAACCGAACAGAAAAATCTGCCCCCACTGGGAATCGAACCCGGGACCTCTGCGTCTGAAGCAGGTAGTCTTACCACTAGACCACAGAGGCGGTTAAATTTTAGATCGAGCTAGAGCTTTCGGTACATACCTAACAAGCAGGGCCTTTTTCAGCCTTTTTCCTCTTTACATACCAATTACCCACAATCTTTAAACTAATACCTAAGCATCAATAGTAGGTCAGCTAAGTCACCACATCAAACCTGTCGTAATGTATGTTCTTTATCAAATCTTTTCTGGAAAACTTAAATTTATTTTAAAAGCTTTCAATTGGGATATTTATATCCGAAGGTATTATATTTACGAGTGTTATCGTAAATATTTCGACAACTCAGTGGTAAGTTTATCTGTGTAAGATTAAAGACATTTTTATTGCAGGTATTTAGTATCTTGATTGAACACTTAACATAATAATTATACACCCTATCACGTTTCTTTATAAATCGATAAGGTAAGTTGATGTTTTCATCGATATTTATTAGTCAAAAGTCGAAGATGCATTCTGCACTTACTCGATTTCACTGATAATTGAGCAAGCAGAACCTATTATAAAAATATGCTTTCTTGTGATAATTCCATACTGTTCCCAATCTCATAAAAAGAGAGAGGCAATTGTCATCTGGGAAATTATGATAAGAAATGGAAAAGATCTGTAAGCTCTGTACGTTTTAAAATTGTCACTCTCACGGGATTTTGCAACAAAAACTTTTTTAACAGTAAACAGATATTTTCTGTACGTTTTATTTGTCAAAATAATAAACAATCATAGAGCTTTCACAGGTAAAAAAATATTTACTGGATTTATGTAGGTACTTCTTTCTTTGTTATTCAAGACACCGAAAATGTAATGCAAAAAGCTAGAACAGAAATATAAAAATCGCTTAGCAATCCCACGTACCTACTGAGTTTACGTATGCGACTTTTCGAATCGATTATGAAAACTATACCTACATTTTCTACAGGCACTGCCCCAACTATAGTGGATAGTTAATCGGCGTCTATTGCTCTTGATATCCCCTCTATCGAGGGATAGTACAAATTAGGTTCGGTAATCAGTAGGCGTGTCAATATTGACGCGAGGCGTGAATTCGGCCAGTTTATGAAATAATCAATCTGCAGTGACAAAGTCTTCGGCGGATAATGAACAAGGCGGATTACGAGGCTTGCCCGTGGTGGCCTCGGCTGGCACGATAGGGATGCACTAGGGCTGACACATAGTTCAAGTGGTGGGAAATTGGAAAATAGCTGGCTTCAGCACCAGTGGTGGACATTCTACTTTACACAGTCTACAATGTAAGATGAATAATAATAAATTGTCCGAGGATAATTCCAGGTAATTCTTTTTAATAAAAAAAACTACCTTACGCTATCAGATAATACGAGTTAGAACATTGTTCGTGATAAAAATCAGCCTAACCAAATCAAAGAACCAGAACCAGATAACTATTGTAGAGATCTGAAGCTAAACACCGTGTGGCACATTATGTGGCTGTAACACGAGTAGATTTGCTTTCGATTAGTAAACTACGAGTATACTGCGTATCTTAAAAATCTAATGTTTCTTTTCTAGTGTTTTTTTTTTAAGTTAGATCTTCATTATGTATTATTTTTGGTGACAAAGAAACATATCTAAGTATGATTATTTTCTAAGATATGACATAACCTTGCAACCACCTTGCTATCGTAATTCTTGATCGCTATTTCGTTTCTAAACAATTTGTAAAAACACTTCCTTATCAGAAATCCTTTTTGATGGATGATCTATAAGCTCAACAACAGATACGCTTAAACCTGACAATTCTATTCGCAATTAATTATCGCTAATCTCCGGTTTTTCCGTGGACTTTTCTGAAAAGTGATTGGAGCAACCCTGCTGTTATCGGTTTGGGTTGATATGCGTTATCGGGCCACGCTTTGAGAGTCCGCCGGCCCATCCATCATCGACTACCTTTGCTCTACCGACCCGTATCGACAAACATGTGTTAGGTACTTAGGTGTCGATACATTCCACTTGAATTCGACACGATAGATAAAACCGCCGTTTCCTTTAATGTACGCACTTATTTACTTTTAACTGGTTACATAAGAGCGTCGAGTACACTCCGATTTGATTGCTGGCAGTTGGTGGAGTACATAGTTAAATTGTTGTGAATACTGTGAAACCTTATTACAGCGCATTGATTTTCCTCCATAGTCTCATATTACCTACAGAACAAAGCTCTAAACTAATGAGACTTTTCATTGGTCTATTAGAATAATTACAGGGCAGACTCTATATCGCCGTTTATGAATTAAGGATTTTGGCTAGAGCGTTTTAGCGTTTTACTCATCTTCTTCACTAGATTTTCATATTAAATTCATCCTTGAGTCGAAAATGAGATACTCAAGCTGAATTCTGAGTTCGAAAACTGGGCCATTACTGAGATTTAATCGAGTTTTGTTACAATATTACTACTTAAAAGTTGGTCTAAGTCTTTTTACGCTCACCTATTCAATTATAATGTAAAACAATATTGGTTTTCTCTTGTAAGCGATTTATAATCATAATGAGAAATAAAGAAATTTTAACCGTAAAATAAACACATAATAACCAAAATTCTAGTTATTATTTTATTATAATTTAGAGCGCTGCATGAAATCGTGATTCGTAAAGCTCTTGGAAAATATGGCGTCGTAAAAACTTTGTTTTCAAAATTATGCAAACTAAAACAGAGTTTTTAAATAAGTTATTTTTAAACCGGTGTTGATAGTAGATATTTTATATCTTTAAGATTATGAAACTTTTCGGATCATTTAGTGTTGCAATGAATTAAATATCGATAATGTCGATACTTTAGCAGAACACTTTTTAGGTAACTTTACGTAATATGCATACATTTTTGAGTATGTAGAGCCTTATGAATTGAAATTACTGACAAATGAAACCTAGATTTAAATACAGAGATGGTTAATTTAATTAATTTCTTTAAGTATGACATGACATGCATTTTGGGGAGACCGGTGTGTACCAGCTCTACCAGTAGGTACGTGTGTACCTATCTGATTTTTCCAAAGAAATCAGAACTAAACAGTATCTTTATAACCTCAACTTAAATGTACCTAATAACTAGAGCACAACTACCTATTATAGGTATTTAAGGCCTCCATTATTATATCGATGCATAGGATTAGCATCTCACAGTTTAAGCATTTCGTCGAAAGTTAATCGGTATCTTTGATTCCTCCTAGTCTCAGGCAGCCCTTCATTAATAGTTAAGCATTACTTCAAAAGTTTGAAAACGGTAATTAACATCGATACCGAGGCTTCGTTACCCGCGCAGCCCTACAATGTTTGTGGAGGCATTAGGAAACCGCGCTCGCTATTTGCCGTAGGTTTCCCCACGCTTACTCGGTTTGCTCTCAGTTTTAAGTTTGTCACTTTGTGTGGTCCGGTATTTAGAGCGATCGCACCCGTTTTGGTATGGATTTTGAAAGGTTCATTCATATTTCATGTGCTGAAATAGACTGTCACAATCCATAATGGATTTGTGTTGTCGCAGGTGCTATATCTATGATGAATATTCTTGATTTTATAATGATTGCATATTACTATTTATTTCAACTATTGTCCTAGCAACTAACTTAAAATTTAGTTTTTGCAAATATAAAAGTTACAGTTAAACTACTTTTTTTAAGTCTGGCAGTTTATACCAGAAGAAGTTTTTTNAGTGTTTTTTTTTGAAAGAGTGGAATAGTTTCTTGCAACTTTTTTCTTTTTTGAGTCTATTACAATCAAATCTAATCGCTATTATAATGTCTATAGTTCTCACTACTAGTTCTAATGCATTAACAATGACTTTTGGATACCAAACCTTTACCTGTGTAAATACAGAAGATAGAATAAAGTTTGTCGCAGGCTCAGTCTGCAGTCAGCTTCAAAACTCTTATGAAACGTGTACTTATAACCCAGTGAATAATGACATAGATTACAAGTAATAAAATTTGTAAAGCCTAGCACTCACTGTCGTCGGTGTGCTTGCGGTCCCTTCGCGGCCGAGGCGGGGCGTACAGCGACTGGTCGACTCCCGAGCCTGCGGACGCCAATGAAGAATGTCCACTGTCCCGAAATTCGCCAGTCTCTGCCCATACTGAAAAGGAAAATATAGTTAATATGTAATTGGAATTAAGCATACTTAATGCATAATTTAATCTAGACTCTAATAGTCACGAAACTAAACCGAAATATTTCTGTTTTATTTAGGTATGTTTTATTGGAGAAACAAATGAACAAGTCTTAATAATACGAAATGCGTTTTATTGTACCCCACACAAGACAGAAACATAACAGAAAAAAGTTGAAGGTACTAAAAGAAACGGCACAATTTAGGTGGCCCTATAAATAAAGCTATCTATTCCAGACGACCTTGGAAGAGGACAGTCAATGGAACTGTCCTCTTCCAAGGTCGTACCTAACATATAATTCGTTAGCCCATCAGATCAATAAGTTAATACTAAGATGACTCTTTAACACTCAGTTGTGTAAGCCCAGCTTTATTTCAGCAACAAAAACTAATTTAATTTTAATCCCGCCACATTATACTGTTACAACTTACATTTATTAGTAGGAAATTATTGCCGACAAATCATGCTAGAACGAGTGCGCGCGTATTTCGGGGATGCCCGCCGATGTGTTTACGCGCACACATAAATTCAATTAAAGTTACTAATAGGCCCATTATTTAGGAGGATCTTGACAAAGTAGCGAGTCGCTGAGCGAGTGTGACGCCCCGCCGCTTACGCGGTAGTTAACCCCGAAATGCTTGTTAACAAATTAGATTGGAGGACCGTGTGTGCGCGCCTTAATTTATTACTACCGACGTTCACGCGCCGCTTCCATGAGCTTTTGGTTGCGTTGTCTTTAGAAGGCAAAGATATCCATAAGTACAAAATATAAAATGCGAGTAGTATAAACTGTAAGAGAACAAAATGTTATTAAATGTCATATTGGTTTTTTAAGTTACAATCCTCCTCTGCTATTAATAATAATCTCACCCAAGGTTGCATGCCGATTACGACCTATGGTGGAGCAAACTTGCCTAGAAAATGCCTGATCACTCGTACATACTTTGAAAGCCGAGAAGTACACATACTTTGAGTTCGGGAATTGAACCCAAGGATTTCTCGTTGAAATTGTATTGAATAGCATTAGATAACCAAAACAATATTTTTTCAGTGTTCCACGTAGCAGATCACAGAAACAGTTACCAACACGTGCCAGTTAAAGCAAACGAAGAAAAACTGAACAGCAATAAATTTTCGTGGAAAATGAAAAGAGAAAATCACGAAAAACTCTCACAAACATTCCTTTACGTCGTCGGCGTACGTTGATTTCCATTGTGATTTTTTATTGATACTGAATGTTTATTTAAAGTACGTTCTTATTGCCGTCGCGACAACGCTGAGCCTCGTGTTTTGGAGAAAGTCACGATCCGTGAGACTGATGGGCGGAGATGTCACGGGCGATGCAATTAAAAATATAAGTGTGTTTCTTTAATTTCGCTCGCTATTTGCGCTTTTTTATTAAAGCACTGAATAAACTGGGTCAGCTTTCATTTTGTAATTGGAACTGCTTTGTGATGAAATTGAGTGTGATTTTTCTTTGTTAATTAATTTTACTGAATTATTTTTCCGATTTAAGTTAACTTTTAATTAAGTAAACAATAGCGATGAAAATAGTTTAGCCGACGTTTGCGCAGAATGATGACGCGCACGAATTAAACTAGTACAGTTGCCAACAGAGCTCTTACACAGTAAAAACTAAAAGGTAAAAAGTCACATGTGACGTTATCGCGTCACGAACAAAACAAACGTCGGGCCGTACAAACGTACAGAGCAAACGGCACTCGTTCAAATAAATTTTATGTTTGCTGCTTTGATAAAGCCTGATAAGCGTACGTTCATTGTTTTATTGGGGGCTGTAAACCGCCTCTCAGCTCGTTTACAGTGATGAACTGTACGCAGTCGGGCATAAAAGTGTTTGAAAAATTCTCAAATTATCTCTGTGTTATCCTGAAATATTACTAAAGTACAACAGAGCTCTGTTTCTAAGTATAACATTTTAATCAATTTGCTGCTCTATGTCACGAACGCGCAAACATGTAAATATAAGATACGACATTTTACTACATAATATGTATGGTTGATAATTCAGTTTTATTTTCATTTTATTTAGCAGCTGTCTATGATTTTATTTCGATTTTAAGATAGTTAAAGGCGATCGAGTAACAAAATGTAGACCATCAACACTTCATACTTTTGTCAACTATAGTCAAAACAAAGAAATGATTATGATTCTAAATTCTAATCATAATATGGCATTAATGTTTTATTGTTTATTAATGTAGCGACCAAATATTGTTTATGATCCTTTTAATTAAATGAAAACTTTATTTTAATTTGGCTCACGTCACGATAGACTTCCCACTTCCCACTTATGAAAGTTCATTCTGTACACGAGTGTACCTCACACCTGTCACAGCAATTGTATCACCGCTATTACACATCGCTCCATAACTTTTACGAGGCACATTAAACAGTTTCGTTTAAAAAAACAAACAGTATTTACGAGGGGAAACAATGCATACATTTTAGCACGTTTGCTGAAAATGACTGTCGTTACCTATTTGCGGGTTGCTTTAATCCGACTGTACCAGAAAGTGAGTTATTTATGTAGGTACTTATTAGCAATATTTCAGCTATATTACAATATTGAAAGTACTTAATTCTTGCTAAATGATGATTTGAGTTTCAGTTAAATATAAGATTTAAATCCACATACCTATCACCTTATCATTCTAACAAACACATTTTTGTCCAAACTCTCCAATTTTCAATTTTCAGCTGAAAGTGGTCGCTGAAATTTTGTAATTAGGAATAGCTATTCCTTTGCTAAAAAGTTATTATACACTATCAGGACTGTTACTATGAGTATTTACATTATTACACGCTATGTGTGTACGGGAATATGTACACTGTACACATGTACTTATTGTGGAAAACCTTGGGGGAGGCCTTTGTCCAGCAGTGGACGTCATTTGGCTGAAACGAGGTACACATGTACTTATATCTGGTGTATTTTTCTGAAATTACTTTCGAGTAAAACATTTAAAAACCCCAAATTGCCCATTAGATTTGAGCGTGACAGAAATAAATAACACTGAGCTTAGGGAAAACGTACATGGAGCTTTAATGTTTCTTTATAATGCGTCATTGTAAAAAATACATTAAATCTACGGAAACACCATTACTTTATTACATAAAGCATATTCTGTACATTTTTATCGATACTGGTTTGTAAGGTGTTTTCCATTAAATGACTCGCGTATGACTAATTCTTGCCGACAGTAAGTACCTATAGTGGAAACCCTGGCATGTTAATACAATAATACATAACACTTGTACACAGAAGAATGTCTAAGTTTAGACCAGCCTTAATAACTCCTCGAGATAATACATTTATAACGTTCTTTAAATTAATCCCCTGAATTAATCAGATCAGTTCTAACAACAGGAGGAATTATACGGATGAACCGTATGTCAGTCAGCTAGCCAATATATTAATTGGTCGATATTTTATACTCGGCTTTATAACAGACATACAATGGTTGTTGTGACTGGATATTTATTTGGAGATCTATTAATGAGCACTATTAATATTATGTGCAATATTTGAGAGGACAGCTAGCCGCTCTGTACATATTACACACTTCTGAACTACTCACTGTATAAACAGTGACGTTGAGCACCGACGAAAACAACTTGTGAATCAATTGATTTTTCTCTCATTTTGATTTGAGAACCTTCTTTATGATGCTGTATTTTGTACCTGCGCACACAATTTCTTGAATAGTAGAGCAATATAAGACTTGGCCTAAACTCTTTAGCACTCTGGTTACACTGGTAGGGGCCTGATGTTTGGAGGTCTGACCTTTTACGACAACCATGGTAAAACTGAAGTGTTTTTATTCTACTTTTCTCATACAGTACGTTTCTCAAATCTGTCATCCGCTTTGCACTTAACTCACTGAAGTTCAAGTAAAGTTCGAAATTAAGAAATCCTTAATTTAGGTACTCCTAATGTTCTTTGCATTAATTTCGTTGCAGTTGCAATGCATTGGCGTATCTAGGCATTTTTTTCAGGAGGGGTGCGATTAGTATCTACCTCATGGTTAGTACGATAGTACTAGATAGTACATAATTGATAAACTATGATCTTCAAACCGGTAGCCCAACATCCTGGGGCACCAGACCCCCCTTTTCATTGAGGTGGCAATAAGCATTTGAAAACATTTGGCAATGTAATGAATCATATCAATCAACGTTCAACGTCTCAAAACACGTCTATCCACTTCTAGTTTGGTGAACAACCTCGCTATGACCTCACTGAATGAAATCATTTGTTAATCCAAAGCTATCTGGACCACCAGCGCCTGCGCACGTAATCCCGGCCACGGAAGCTGTCAAGGGCTAGCATCCGGCTTGGTTGAACCAACATAGTCAACCCTATTCCCTGGGAATAAGAATGAAGTAATATTGTTTGTAGATGCTCGGACGGTGGTCGAAGTGATGGCTGATAAGGTAGAGAAGTGTGTTGGTGAAAGGAACGGACTGATATCATTTAAGAGAAATGCTGAAAAATACTGAGTAGGTACCTACCTATATTTTGCATTGTGACCATGAAATGTAGTGTGACAGTGTTTTCTTTGCGAAGAGTGTGTTGTGTTAAAAAACTTCAAATTTTAAACCGTTGAATAATGTTTAAACATTTTTTATTGAATAGGTACCTAACTAAATAAAAATGTTAGAATTTTAATATTAAAAGCGTTCTACATTTAAAATAATGGAGAGATCTTTTACAGGGTACTTATGTGGTAGAGACTTTCACAGTCTCGTCTGCTTCATATTAAACTTAAAGAATACCTCCGGCAATTCGTCAGTTAAATTAATATCAAAACATTACGTTACACTTATCTTGATAGTGTGACAAAAGCTTAACCTACACGAGACCCACCCACATCTTCGGTAGAGTTTTACTTGTCAAGATAAAAACAAAAATGCATCTTAATAATAATGTTGATTCAAATTGCAA